GAAGATGTTGGTGTTTCCCAAAATTCTCAGTCTTACTGTGGAAAGGGAAGAGCAGAACACATGCTGAGGGTCACTGCTGCTTAGGAATGATGTCACTTAATTCTTTTCCTGTGTGTGTGTGTGTGTGTGTACGTGTGAGTGTGAGCGACTGAGTGTGTGTATGTGTGTGTGGCTTTACTGCATATGCTTTCCTAGTTTTTAGTTGTTATTTATTTTATTTTACATTTATTTATTTATTTATTTTTGGTTTTTCGAGACAGGGTTTCTCTGTGTAGTGTTGGTGCCTGTCCAGGATCTCGCTCTGTAGACCAGGCTGGTCTCGAACTCACAGAGATCCACCTAGCTCTGCCTCCCAAGTGCTGGGATTAAAGGTGTGTGCCACCTCGCCCAGCTTAGTTGTTATTTATTTTATGTGTATGGATATTTTTGCCTACATGTATGTCCATGCACAACATATGTGCCTGGTGCCCAAAGAGGCCAGAGGGGGTGTTAGATCCCTTGAAATTGGAGTCACAGATGGTTGTGAGCCACTATGTGGATTCTGGAAATAGAAAGAACCCAGGTCCTCTGCAAGGGCAGCCTGTGCTCCTATCCACAGAGCTGCCTCTCCAGCATCTTCTTTTATTGTATTTTTATCCTTCCCATGATTCCCATCTTTAAATACAATAGTCTTTTTGATACATCTGTGTAAACACCGTACATCTGGATTTCCATTTTCACCCACATTGAGAGTCTTATTCATTGATTGACTGGTTAACTGGTTGATTAAGATGGCGCCTCATGTAGGTCAGGCTGGCCTCGAGTTCACTATGTAGCCAAGGACGATCTAGAACCCTTGACCCACTGCCTACACCTCTCCATGGTGAGACTGCAGACATGGCCACCACAAGCACCCTGAACAATCTTAATTTCTCTCTCTCTCTCTCTCTCTCTCTCTCTCTCTCTCTCTGTGTGTGTGTGTGTGTGTGTGTGTGTGTGTGTGTGTGTGTGTGTACCCACATGTGAATGCAGTGCCTGTGGAGGCCCAAAGGGGACATCAGGTCCATTGAAGCTGGAGTTAAGGGCAGTTGTCAGCTGCCAGATGTGTAGCTCAGGCTGGCCTTGAACTCGTGACCCTTCTGCCTCAGCCTTCCAAGATGAAGCTGCTTAGATGGAAACCCACCCAAGCTTGACTCGGGGCTACGAAAAAGATCCATCTGTTAGCAGCCACCCAGAACACTTGGACAGACAGCCTGCCCTTGGCTGTTCTTGGCTTCATGCTCCTGTCATCAACAGTGTCCTCTTCTGTGAGGCAGATGTGCCTTGCTGTCTTACCACCTTCTGAGGCATGGACAGTCATCTCCACAGCTGTCAGGTCTTGTCCTTCCCTTTCTACTGTGGTGTCGTCAGGCCCTGGGTCAGGATGATTCGGGATAAAGTAAACCGTTCTCTAGTCACATTCCCCTAATGAAGTCCCCTCCATCACTGTACAGGGCTATCTGTGCAGGCTGCTGCTCATTGGCTGATACATTCCTGGATCTCAGAAAGAGAAATGGGAAGCTATCCATCTTGGGTCACTGCTTCCTTGGCTGAAAGTGAAACTCGGGAGGAAGACTTTCTCCTTGCTGGTGCTGAGCCCACAGGGGGTGGGGGGTGGGGAGGGCGCTGGAGTTTTGTTTTCTCTCCACATTCCTCAAAGCTCAAAGACAGCTGCTGGCCTCACAGCTGGCCCCGCCCCTCCTCACCTCCCTTGGGTGTGACATAATCACCTCTCAGAGGTTCCTTCATAGTCTCTGTTCTGAGGGTCTCAAGTATGGACTAGCACAAGGCTAAACACTGGCCAGTATGCTGCCTTGGAACACAGGCTTTCTCCCAAATCAGCCCCAGAGATATTCAGAGGAAAACGCTTTTTGGGTGGAGACAAGGTCTCAGATAGCCCTGTTGGCATCAAACTCGCCACGTAGTCAAGCATGTCTGAGTGCTTTGCCTGCAGACAGGTGTGTGCACATGCGTGCAGTGCCCACAGAGGCTAGAAGAGGGCATGGGATTCCCAGGACTGGAGTCACAGATGGCTGTGGGCGTGTGTGGGTCCAGGGAATAAACCTACGTCTTCTGAAAGAACAGCAAGTACTCTTAACCACCCAGCCATTTCTCCAGCTGTGGTGGTTTGAAAGGAAATTGCTCCCAAAGGAGAGGCACTATTAGGAGGTGTGGCCTTGTTGGAAGAAGTGTGTCACTGTGAGAGTGGGTTCTGAGTTCTGCTGTGCTCAAATTGCTCCCAGTGCCACAGTCCACTTCCTGTTGCCTTCTGATCAAGATGTAGCCAGCACCGTGTCTGCCTGCATGCCACCATGCTCTCCACCGTGATGATAATGGACTGAACCACTGAAACTATAAGCCACCACCTCAATTAAATATTTTCCTTTATAAGAGTTTCCATGGTCATGATGTCTCTTCACAGCAATAGAAAAAATAACTAAGACACCAGCTCATTTTTAGTTTTTAAAAACATTTATTTATTTATTGTATTTGTGTATGTCTGTATGTGTATATATGTGTGTGCATGTTTGTGTGTATGTTTTGTGTGTATATATTTGTGTGTCCGTGTGTATATGTGTGTGTGTCTGTGTCTCTGTGTAGGGGTGTGTGTTTGGTGTTCAGAGGACAACTTTCCGCAATTGATTCTCATTCTACTGATTCTACAGTTCCTGGGAAATGAACTCACACTGTCAGCCTTGGCAGCAAGTGCCCTTACTAACCGAGCAATCTTGTCACCCTAACTCTGTGAGCTTCCTGAGTCCTCTGAGCTTCCTTCCTTACTCCACAAGGGAATTTCCACTTAGGAAGACACAGCTACACACTAGCCTGACCTAATATGTACCACAAGCAGGCACACATATGCCATGCAGAAGAGTATGTGATGGAATCTCATCATAGTGCCCAGGCGGGTCTCTGCTGTGGGATGTCTTTCTGTATGCTGTGAATATGTGCGGCTCTTGTTGGATAATAAATAAAACTGTTTTGGCCTCTGGCAAGAAAGCTTACAGCCAGATGGAAAATCCAAGCAGAGAGGCCGGGCGGTGGTGGCGCACGCCTTTAATCCCAGCACTCGGGAGGCAGAGCCAGGCGGATCTCTGTGAGTTCGAGGCCAGCCTGGGCTACCAAGTGAGTTCCAGGAGAGGCGCAAAGCTACACAGAGAAACCCTGTCTCGAAAAATCAAAAAAAAAAAAAAAAAAAAAAAAAAAAAATCCAAGCAGAGATACAGAGAAAAGGGCTATGGTGATATTTTATTTGTATTAAAATGTTATTTGTGCCGGGCGGTGGTGGCGCACGCCTTTAATCCCAGCACTTGGGAGGCAGAGGCAGGCGGATTTCTGTGAGTTCGAGGCCAGCCTGGGCTACCAAGTGAGTTCCAGGAAAGGCGCAAAGCTACACAGAGAAACCCTGTCTCGAAAAACCAAAAAAAAAAAAAAAAAAAAAAAAAAAAAAAAAAAAAAATGTTATTTGTATGTTAATAAAGTTGCCCGGGGGTCAGAGCTATTAGCAAGCCATAGGAAAGCAGGGCAGTGGTGGTGTACGCCTGTAATCCCAGCACTTGGTAGGCAGAGCTGGGTAAGTCTCTGTGTGTTCAGGGATACAGCCATTATTGGATACACATGCCTTTAATCTCAATACCAAGCATGGAAAACCTGGAGGTCTATACAGACAGGCCGTGAGGAGGCGGTCATGTGGTTGGGTTTACAACCAATGAGAAGGCAGGACAGGAACTCTATATAAAGACTTTAACACAGGGGTAGCTCTGGTTCGGAGAGGTAGGACCACTGCAGGAGGAAGGGTAAGGTTTTAGCTCTTAGCTCTGACCTCTTGGCTTTCTTCTTTGCATTGGTTCTGTGTTTCTTATTTAATAAGAAGGTTGGTTACATCTACAAAGGGCAGAGTGGGGAGAGACTCCAGTCGCCACCCAAGGAGCAACAAGATGCCAGCAGACTGGTAACACAATGGCCATGTGGCAACATATAGATTAAAAGGAATGGGTTAATTTAAGATGAAAGAGTTAGCTAGCCAGAAGCTGGAGCCATAGGCCATATGGTTCGTAATTAATATAAGCCTCTGCGTAATTATTTTATAAGCAGCTGCAGGACCTCCAGTGGGAGAGATTTGTCCAGACCTTGGGGCTGGGCTGACCGAAGAAACTTCCGGTTACAGGTCTCTAACTCCTGATACCAAGTAGCCCTTATGCCCGGCTCTCTCTGGTGCTGAAACCACAGCCCTGATAGTTCCAAGCCCAGTTGCCCATGTCTTTTCATCTCTTCAGCTGTCAATTCGAGCTGCGCTTTTTTCATTAGCTATGAGTCAGGCACTGTTTCGGGTGCTGGGAATGAACCATGAATAAACAAACAGGAATCTTGGTGGGTTTTTTGTTTTCCTCTGCCCTGTATTTCATCTTGTTTACTCATTTCTCTAGGCATCCCTTTGAGTCCTGGGAGATGGGAGCTGAGGGATTAAACTCCATGTTCCATCTTGTGCCTTGCTCAGTTTCTCAAGGTGTTCAGTAGAACAGAGCCCTGGGTACTCAGAGGGACTCAGTACCCTGCAGTGCCTTTCACATCTCTGCCTCATTCTTTCTATTCCTAATTCCTCTCCCTCCCCTCCTATGGGTTCACTTTCCTGAAGAAACTACCTATGTGTTAGCCCTTCTCCAGTGCTGCTTTTGGGGCCCAGGCTAACACCGTGAAGACATCGAGTCATTGTCTGCATTGACCTTGGGTCCCAGGCTGTACTGCAGGTTTCTAACCAGCATAGAGGAAAATACTCTTTTGTGTGTGTGTGTGTTTTCCCATAGTTACCACCTCAGAACCTGGAAAATATCAATACATGTGTTGGCTTTTTTTGAAATAGGGTCTTACTATGTAGCCCTGGTTGGCCTGGAACTATGTAGAGCAGGGTGGTCTCCACCTCACAAAGATCTCCTGCCTCTGCCTCCTGAGTGCTGGGATTAAAAGCGAGGGCCACAACTAACTCAAACAGGTTGGTTTTTATTTGATTCAACAAAAAGGAAGAGTATGGTGGAGTGTGGAAGTCAGAGACCTCTGCCTGGTGTCCTGTAAAGATGAGACCTTCCAGGGCACTTACCATTTCTCCCCAGTCCCTGTGCCCTTGCCTTGTGCCAGCAGAGCAGTGGCTTGGGCACTGCCTGCCACCTGCTTCCTCCATGCTGGGAGAAGGAAGCCAGCTCCTTGTCCTCAGGGGCAGGACCCATGAGTCTGCACTCTGGCACCAAGAATCAGATGTCAGGGCCCTGCCCATAGACCAAGGCCACAGACAGGAACTGGGACGGAGTGACCGACCTCACAGTTCTGTCCCAGCTTGGCGTCTCATGGCTGTAGGAATCGAGTCTCAGACAGCTGGTAAGAATGCAGCAACACAGGACAGTTGCAGTTAAGGGCTGACCACTAATTTGATGCTTCTGTGGTTCTGGGCCACTTTTCTGCCCGCGGTTTCCTGCAAATGAGAGGTGTCCAGACTTGTGACATGATGTTGTCATATACAAAGTTTGTACTCTAGCACAGTCAACTTACAAAAAATTAAATTGGAAAAAATCATAAAGATGCCTAGGTTTTAAGTAAGGTTAGCTTTGTGTCGGCAATGTTCAAGGTTTTCCTCAGTCACACATGGCCGTTGGCAGGAGGCGTGTATACACCAGGAGGGGCTCAAAGAACACCACTCCCCATCCAGTCCTAGGGGGTTTTATTTTTTAATTTAAATCTTTTTTATATATTTTGGTCATATTCCCCTTCAACTCCCTCAAGATTCCCCCTCCTCACCCAATTCATGTTCTTTCTCTGTCTTAAAAAAAAGCATGTGTGTGAGCGCGCGCGTGCGCGCACACACACACACACACACACACACACACAAAGAGCCAGCTTTGTCTTTGCTCACTACTCCTGAACAAGTTACTCCTTGGAGTGTGGTTGATACACCCAGTGACCCTCCATTGGAGAAAACTGATTTTCCCTTTACCAGCAGGTACCAATCACAGACAGCTTCTTGGTTAGAGGTGGGAGCCTGTGTTCACTTCTCCCACTCAGTGCTGAGACTGTCTGTCTGGAACCTGTGCAGGCCCTGTGCATGCTGCCACAGTCTCTGTGAGTTCATACGTCCCATTGTGCCTGGAAGACACTGTTTTCATGGAGTCATCCGTCACCTCTGGCTCTTACGCTCTCTCCACCTCCTCTTTCACATAGGTCCTCGAGCCTTGAGGGGAAGGGTGTGACACAGAAACTCCACTTAGGACTAGTGCTCCCAGGTCTCTCCCACTGTCCATTGTGGTCTCTGTTAGTTCCTATCCACTGTGAGCAGCAGTCTCTCTCTCTCGCAGGAGCTGAGCAAGGCACTGCTCTGGATCCCAGTCAAGTGTGGTAGCTGTGGGGTTCCTGGAGTGAGAGTCGGGAACGGTTGAGGAGGGCAGTGAGGAAAAACTAGGGGGACCCTGGGTCTGCACCTCCAATGGGGGCCAAGTCCCAAGGAAATGGAGATAGGCTGGGCCAGATCTTAGTTCTTAAATTCCAGAACTGGAAGGCACTGGACCTGTGAGTTTTTCTTCAGGTAATCCTACTGTACCCCTTTAAGACCCTCACTGCTGGATGCAGCACCTTTTCTACTGAAAACTGGGTTCTGAGGCAGTTCAGTTTCAGAGTCTTAAAGGTTCCTGGACCCTGGTAGCCAGCCACAGTCCCTTGGCTGATGAGTTTGTGTGTGTGATTGAAATGTTTATTGAGACAATTATGCATTTACATTCTATCATAAAAAATAATGCTTTGCCACCTACCATAGTGGTGTACACCTGTAATTCCAGCACCTGAGAAGTAGAGGCAGGATGGTTAGTTCAAGGTCAGCTTCAGCTACATTGTGAGTTCAAGGCCAGCTTGGGCTATACAAGATGGTCTCAAAAAAACCAAAACCAACCAACCACCCTCGAACCCAAAACGGGGCTGGGGAGATGACTCTCAGTGGTCAAGTGTAAACGTAAGAACCCAGCTCTCACATAAAAAGCCAGGCACGGTGGCATGTGACTGTCACTGCTGGGGAGGGGGACAGAGACAGGCTGATCCCGAAGGCTGGCTGGCCAGTCTAGCCTCATCAGTGAGCCCCGGGTTCAGGGAGAGACCCCGTCTCAAAGACTAAGATGGATATCAGCCCCTGCCCGAGGCTCAGGGACACCACAGAAGAGGGACCCGGGGGATGGGGAGGAGGACTGTGAAGTGCTGTCCCCTAGACATGGCCTGGCTGTCACACACATGAGTTCACAGCCGCTGTGGTGGCCTACACAAGATCAAGCTGGACAGAAGTGGGCAAGATGGGATTGTTTCCAGGCCCCACCCCTTACTGCGGGGCTGTCGGGCATTGACAGCTGCCGGAGAAAGGCGAGTCATTCTTTTCTGAGGATGTAGTCACATCCTTTTCTTGAGTCTCATGCTCCACACCCTTGTACATATGGGCAGCACCAAGTAGACTGGGTTACTGAAAGGAAAAAAAAAAAAGACATGAAGTTGTGAGGGGAATGTGTTGAGGTGGCCATGGAAGGAGTTGGAAGTGGGACATGGGGACATATCTGACCATATTTCATTGTTTACATGCATGAAATTCTCAAGAAGAGGAGTAAGGTGGGGCGCAATGGAAGACATCTGATGTCAGCCTCTGGCCTCCCCGTGGGTGCGTGAGCACACCCCACACGTGTGTACACATGTACACACATACACATGCATACTTTATATGCACATATACATACACACACTGTTCACCTGAACTCAGCTCTTTTTTTTCTTTTTTCTTTTCGGAGACAGGGTTTCTCTGTGTAGCCTTGGCTGTCCTGGAACTCACTCTGTAGACCAGGCTGGCCTTGAACTCACAGAGATCTGCCTGCCTCTGCCTCCTGGGTACTGGGATTAAAGGTGTACACTACCACCCTCTATGGCTTCAGTTCTTAATTTATGTTTCTGAAAAGCCTTTTTATTTAAAGAGAACTTCAAACCTATAAAAAAAAATACCCTAGGACTCCTGAGACCCAGACTCACTGTTAATCTTTGGCCCAATCAGTTTACCACACCGCTCATCAAGATGTCTTTTCCTTCCTGAATCACTTGAAGGTACTTTTGCCTCTTAAGTCCTAAGAATAAAGATAGTCTTGTCTGTGCACATAGTAAATTTAACATTGGCCCAGTATTTTAAGATCTACAGCACAGATTCCAGTTCTGCCAGCTGGAATGTTCTGTACATCACCCAGCGCTACAGAGGCATATCATTTAGCCACAGTCATTCAGCCCTCCTGTTCCAGACAGGTCTCAAATCTTTAGATTTTTGCCTGAACAATTTCCCTACTCAGTTCCTATCCAGCCCTGAAATTTGGAGGGTCTGGAGGAGTTTATTTCCTCCACATCTTTGGTTCAGGTTGGAGTCCGCTCCAAGTCTGTTCAGTGTCCCCGGGACCGGTTGGAGAGACCATTGGAAAGGAGCTCGCGTGGGTCGCGTTAACACGTCTGCGTGTTATTTGCGTGAAAGCTTCCCGGAGGGTTTCATTGTCCCCTCTGTCACCCCCACCAGCTCCTTCACCCTTTGGTGGTGTTGCCCATACTGCGGGTCCAAGGCCCCCTCCTGCGGTCCTAACTCCGTGCTTGACTCCGGGGCGGGTTCCGCAGGACAGCAGCGCCGGCAGTGGGGTCCCCAAGCAGCCCTCGCGCGCGGGTCGGGACGCACGCGCCGGGATGCCGAGTGGGCCAGCGCTTGGTGTCGGAGCCTCTCACGGCGGGGAGCGGGAGCGTCGCACGCGCGCGGGGACCGTCGCGCAGGTGGCGGCGGGGCCGAGCGGGGCGGGGGCGGGGCCGGGCGGGGAGGGCCGGGCGCGCGTCGGGCGGTGACGGCAGCGCGAGGGGAGGCGCGAGGCCCGGCCGCGCGGAGCCATGGCGAGAGGCCGCGCTGCGGCGCCCGCGACACGGTCCCCGGCCCCGGCCCAGTCCCCGGCCGCGCCCCCGCCCGCCGCTCCGGGGCCCACTCGGCCCCCGCCCCCGCGCGCCCCCGGCCCGTGACACGCGCCTGAAGAGCCCCGGAGCGTCCCCGATCGCTCGGGCACCCGCCCACGCCGAACCCCGCAGCCCCGGGAACGCTAGCCACGGGCGGCCGGGGCCGGGCCGAGCACAACGCGGAGCAGCGACACCGGCCCCGGGACCGCGCCCGCCGCCCCCGCGCCTCCTGCGGGTAAGTCGCCAGTGCTCCAGGCCTGCGGCTGGGGAGGGGCCGCGGCCCGACCGCTCCCCTGTGGCACCTGCAGGGCTGGGGACACCCGGGAAGGTGCCCTAAGGCCATCGTGTCCCGCTGTGCCGCGTGTACTCGGATTCCGGGCCCCGGCAGCCTAGGTGACAGTCGGGCGACCTTCAGAGAGCCCCGGGCTGGAGCGCGCGCAGCACCCACTTTTCCACTCGCCGCCTGAACTTCGTGTGCATGACATCGTGCGCCTAGGGACCCCCCTTTCCATCCTGAGAGTGAAGGAGTTCACTTTGGGTCACTTTTTGGACTTTTGTTTTACAATTCTCTGTCGTCTCCAAGGTCAGCCTCTTGCGGGTAAAAAGCAAATGTCATGAAATGTCTCATTGTTATTGAGGGAAGATTTTAAAAGTTCTGGGTGCTGGGTGCTGGGTGCTAGGTGCTCCCACCCCCCCCCCCGCCCCCAGCCCCTTAAAGCTCAGTTTTAGAACCGGTTGCCGCGCTTGCTCAGACAGACTTTACTGCCCACTTTGAGCAGGAAGAATGAGTGCCGAGGCCTTTGGGGTTTTTGTTGTTTGTTTCCTGATTTGTTTCGCCAAACTTTGAAATGGTGTGTGAGCGTTGACAGTACTGTGTGCAGCCAGAACCCATGCTCTTTCCTGCCTGGTCTTTCTGGTCTGGGGCAGGTGGGAGGAAGCCAGAAGGAAACAGGCTAGTTACAGGGTCTTTTCCATTTTCTGACCTACCAGAGCGGCCTAGAGGGAGGGGGCAGCTTGAGCTCTGACCAGCGACCCTGCGGGCGTGTGTGTGTGTGTGTGTGTGTGTGTGTGTGTGTGTGTGTGTGTGTGTGTGTGTTCGCGCGTGCGCAGGTGCAGTGGGGCGGTCTCCCCGTTGGGGTGGAGATGACAGGTGGAGGTGGACCTGCGTGGCCGACAGCTGCCTTCCCCTTTGGTCACACTCGAAAGGCTGTGTAGCTCTGTGTTCTCTGACCCCCACTTGCTCACAGAGAAGCCCAGGCAAGTGGAGAAGTAGCTGAGGATCAGAACTGTGCCCGGGGGTGGCTGAACTGACTTTTAGTCCACTCGAGGCACAGTAGGTTTGCCAAGGGCTGGGTTGCTGTTGACCACTTGGCAAGGCACCAGGCCCATTTCCTGTGTGATGCCCCAGGGACGGTTGGGGTCTGGTTTCCTGCGCAGAGGCCAGCTCTCCCCTTGGACCGTGTCTCCACCCTGGTAAGGTAAGGACGCTGGTCTTGGAGTAGGGAAGCTTCATAGCCTTGCTTCTCCTCTGCAGTCCCTGTGACCTTGCCCAGCAACCTTTCTTACCTGGCTGTCCCCTGGGCCAATGGAAGGAATAGAGTTGGTGTTACTTTATGGAAGTTTGACTGCACGTCATTGTGTGTTCTCAGGTCTGACTGTGCTTGTACCTTGGTAACTTTTTAAAAGTCCTAATACGAATAATTAAGAGATATTATAGCAGTTATAACTTTTACAGGTTTACGGTGTGGGTCAAGTCAGACACTGTAAATGGGCTTTGAGAATGATATGGCTCACGATTCACACTGAAAGAGTTTCAGACTTTCAGTTTCCAAATGGCAGTATCTCACAGTGATCCATCAAATGAAGACGTCTTTCTTGCCATTCCGAGGCCGCCCCTGGTCTTGCCCACCTGTCAGCCTCTGCATTGCTAGATGGTTCTGGCGTGAGCCGCCCGGGCTCCTGACCTGGACCTCCTGCGCCCGAGGTACAGGGTAGGCCTCTGGCTTCTGTACTCCTCGGCTCTGGGCTTTATAAAGGCCTGATTGTTCAGTTACTCCAAGCATCTGATAAGAGAGTGGGTGAGCAGACAGGTGGCCACCTTTCCTACCAGGGGAGGTCCTTTTCTCTCCTTCAGGGTTCGAGTGAGCAAGGCTTGAAGGGTGAAGCACCCACTTAAACTCACTGCAGGCTGTGCACACACAATCAGGCCTTTTGCATTTCATTTCACTTATTTCTGTGTATATGACATTGTATGGAGGTCAGAGGTCAACTTCTTCTACCTCCTGAGGGCTCCCCAGATTGAGCCCAGGTAATCAGACTCCGAAGCCAGGCTTTTTAAGCTTACTTTCATCTCTCTGCCCCAGGAACTTGATAAACTGAGAGTACATTACAGTGACCAACCTCTCCAGATTGAGTGTGTGCCCCACGTTGAAAATGGACCCCATCTGTTCATGCCTCTGTGGTTTGGGGGAGGGGCAAAGGATGCTCTTTTTCAGAGATGCTAGAAGACTGGTCTCCACAGGAAGGGCCACATGGGCCACATGGGTCTGACTTTACTTTGCAGTCTGGGGCTAGTGTCTGCTGGGTGGGAGGTGCTCTGATGAATGCGGGTTCTGGCTCCGCCCCTTTTTTCTTTCTTTCTGAACAATGTTCCTTGATCCAGCTTGCCCTCTTAGTAGGGGTACAAGTGAGGGTCACTCTCAGCCTTGAAAAGGTCCCTTTAAGTATGTGATGTACGTGAGAGCCTGCACGTCTGTCTGAAGGTGGACGAGACTTGGTGGTGCTGAGCTGCCTCCGGACGGGCTTTGTGTTTTCCGAGCGGCCGTGTGGCACAACTCGGAAGCTTGCTTAATTACGGAGCTGCTACTAAGGCAAATGAGGTGAGACTGGGTGAGATGGTGGATGGGCGGATCTCAAAATCCTTGTCTAGGCTTTGGGGCAGCCAGCCAGCTCCCGGGCCACCTGTTCAGGAGCCTTACCTTTCTAAGAAGCACAGTGCAGCCCTCTGGCTAACATGTTTCAGTGACTTCTCAGGTGACCACTTACAGCCAGCAGCCTTGACATGTCAGACTGTAAAGTGTGCTATCTTGTTGCTTGTAATTTAGTCCTGCGGCCATCAGGGCTCTGGAAGCTGGCAGAGGGGCTAGGGCTGAGCCCCAGCCTCTGAAGCCTTTCTGAGTTAATGATTACTGTGATGATGGCCAGGATGGTCTCATGCAGTCCAGGCTGACGGCAAACTTGCTATGGAGCCAGGACTAATCTTGAACTCCTTATCCCTCTGCCTCTACCTCCCATGGCTGGGATACAGGCACACACCACCACACCATGTGGATTCATTCCGTTTTGTTTTCAGAATGTCTTTATGTTGTTCTCAGCTAGTTGTCAACTCCGAGGCTGCGGGGGTGGTGGTGGTGGTGGTGGTGGTGGTGTTCCCAGCCTCAGGCTCCCCACTGAAGGGACCGCAGGCCTCAGCCACTGCACCCAACTAGGACTTGTATTGCTGTAGGGCAAAGGTCCTTCAACTCACTGTCTGAACTGAGACGTGCTTACGGAAAACGCATCCTGCCTTCCCTGACGTCCCGAAAGCTGTCTGGTTAGTGAGTCTCCTGTGTGTTTTGAGAGATGTCCTCTATAGGTTTGAGAGATGTCCTCTATAGGCGAGGCATTTGAACACTCGGTTCCCAGTTGGTGGTGCTGTTTGGGGAAGTTTAGGATGAGCAGCGGGGCTGGAGGAAGTGGGTCACTAGGGGTGGGTTTTCTGTTCCACTTCCGGTTCTTCCTGCTTTGTGCTTGTGGTTGAAAATGTGATTTCTGCGCTCCCCCACCTCCCTCTGTCATGCCTGCCGCTTGCCAGCCTCCCTGCCGTGATGGACTCAACCTCTTGAACATGAGCCCAGACATACTCTTTCTTCCTTAAGATGCTCTGACTGTGGTGCTCTAGCACAGCAGTAGAATGTCATGCGTGTGCATTCCCAGCCAGAGCGGTCTGGAGGTGGCTTCTTTCTAGGCTGTCCTTTAGCTCTAGACTGCACGACATAACGGGACATTCAAGAGCAGAAGAGAATTCACCCGACGGAGTGTTGTGCCCACATCAGAAGAGGATACTGTGAATAACCAGGGCAGATAGTATGTGAAAGTAGCCACCATGATACAAACAGCCTGGATTGCAGTGTTAGACTTTGCTGTGTGTATTCAGGGGTCTTTGAGAGTAACCTCTCTCCAGCTCAGTCTCGGACTCTGTCTGTCTCTCTGTTTCCTCTCATCTCTCATCTCTTTTTCTCTTCCTCTCATCTCATCTCTCTTAAGAATTAGGAATGGAGCCGGTGGTGGTGGCGCACACCTTTAATCCCAGCACTCTGGAGGCAGAGGCAGGCAGATCTCTAAGTTCAAGGCCAGCCTGGTCTACAAAGTGAGTGAATTCCCAGACAGCCAGAGCTGTTACACAGAGAAACCCTATCTCGAAAAATAAACAAGCAAGCAAACAAACAAACAAAAAAGAATTAGGGATGGATAAACGAGCCAATCAGTCCATCCAGAACCCAGGCAGAAATGCCGTGTGTGGCCTAGGCTGGTAAATTCTAGCACTGAGGAATTAGAGACAAGTGGATCCTGGGGACTCTCTGGCCGATCAGTCCAGCTTGGTAGTTGAGCTCCAGGCTGGTGAGAGACCCTGTGTCAAAACATGAGGCAGACAATTCCTACAGAACGACACCTGGGGTTGTCCTCTGGCCTCCATATGCACAAGTGTTTACCCACATGCACGTGAACACACACACACACACACACACACACACACACACACACACGAAAAAGAGTTAGTTGGAGAAAACC